ATAAATTTCAAAAAATTAATCGAGATGGTGTTCTTTTAGTTTTCTGTTTGGATAAACTCAAAAGATCTTTCATTATATCAGAAAATGAGGACAAGTCTGAAAAGGTGTAATACATAACCTCAGATCAGTATGATCAAGTTGTGTGCATGTTGCTATCTTACTTCAGTCACCCCAACTACCCGCTCCTCCATGGTTAAATAAGTTAAGTGGGTCATTCGTCTAATTCTTTTGTCTAATTCATATCCCCAGTATCTGATATATACCTGCAACTATGATAATTGAGTCAAATTAGTTACATTAACTCTTTATTTTTGGACAAGGGCGGGCAAGGAAGGGGCACCTGTTATTTGTTCTGCACCAAATTCTCATTGATTGCACTTGCTATGTATTAGAGTGCGTAGAATTATCTAAGGGAAAATTCTGCTGCTATACTAGATTTAATAGTGTCTATTTTCTGCTGTCCTCTTTTGATTCAGTGCATAGTATGGAGGTGGTGGGAAGTATTACAATTCCACATAGAACTTAAGACATCTGGTTTAGAATTATCTATCACCTTTCATGGAACTTATATATAAAAAATTTTATGCGTTGAAAGTACCGAGTTCTAATGAACCCCGTGACCATATTGATTGAACTTTGTACATGCCTTGTTGGTTCATTCTTTAGGCCTATAGAAGAAATCTCTAACTTCTGTCTTTGGTCTAAAATACTACTGTATATTTGTGGTTACAGAGTGCTAGGGATACTTTGCCATGACTTATTCAATTCTTGAGATGGTCCACATTTCTAAGGGGATAGCTGAATGGTTGAGGCAACCTTGGAGGAGGAGAGGATGGTAGTATTACGGCTTTGACAGGTTGCCTGATGTATTAATTGAGGTGCGCATAAGATGATCCTGATACCATTTTGTCAAAAAAATCTTGAATCTCCAGCTTAAAATTCTGAAATCTTGCGAAAATAAACCTTGTGTTTAGTGAAGTAATCATCATTAGTAATAAATCCAGAGAAAAGTCATAATTGTGAATTGTGATAACTTGTAGGTGTGAGACATTGTTGGTTGTGTTTATGTGCTCTGAACCTCTTGTATGGGCACTACCGACCTAAACTGGACCATTCTATCATCTATTTTCTTTATCTTCATTTTTTTTTTACCTTATAACAAATTCTCCATTACATTTACGTTGGATGTTCTCAAAGTTTTTTTGGACCGTCTTGATCAGGGATGATAAAAATTGGGAGAAGAAAACAAATGATATCGCTTTGATTTTCTCCCTTGATCAGGAGTCCAACATGACACATGAATAAAGTAGTTTAGCCATATGACTCCTTCCTTTGATTTTATGGGCATTTATGTCCAAGTTATGGTACTTTCAGTTGAGATTTATGGCTAAAGGTTTGATTCAACACCATACTTGTCTTTGTGAACAAGTTGAATTCTACCTGCATAAGACAACTTTTCAGCTCATGTAAAAGTTGGGTGACGTAGTCCAAATTAAATCATGAGAAATCTAGTCAAAATATTTTTTTATTTGATACTTCTTTCGTTTCAATTTATTTGTCTGGTTCCTATCCAAACAGACTTTTTAACACTCCTTTCTTCTTGTCTAGAGGAAGTATATGTTGTGATATTAATTTGGCTTTTGTCTCATCATAAAAGGGTATTTGGGTAGGGGAGCTTCACTTAATTTGTCTGGGTGCTCACCTCCTCATTTAATTCCTTTGGATTCATCTTTAGATGTGTAATAGTAGTAATTGTTATGTCAGTTCAGATTATATTATAATCATAATAAGTGTCATTATCAGTTAGTCTGTGATTGAAGGATAGCTTTCAACAAATCCCGCCCTAATTTTTGTTTGTTTATATACATCAAAGTTACTTCATGTGATCACAGGGTAAAAATGGTAAGATAATTAACAGTCAAAATAGAAATGGTATGATAATTAACAGTCAAAATAGAAATGGTATGATAATTAACAGTCAAAATAAAGAAGGAAATCTTAGTAACTCCGTTGGTTGTTTACACGAATTTTCACCTTATTGGTGAGAGTTCAATTCTTCACCTTGTGTCACGACTTCAACAAATAAAGGAGGAGAGTTGAAGATGAAGTTATGTTGGTTATACTTTTGCAATAAATATTTGAAATGATATTCATATTTGAATATACTTAAATACAACTTCAAAATTGAAAAGCGGCTTAAAAAATATTTTTAAAAAATATTTCTACTTGAATTTTGATTTTTTTTTCATGACCAAATAAATTTCGAATAAATTGAAAAATTATTCTGTAAGCAAGTAATTTTTTTTATGGAAAAGGGGACAATTTGAGAGTTGAATCTAGGGGTGTGCAAAATCGAACCGAAAATCGCAAATCGAGAAGAAAAACCCGACTAGTGGTTGGTTTGACTTGGTTTGGTATTGAAAAAAAAAATCCGACTATATTTGGGTTGGTTTGGTTTTAACTAAACAAAACCAACCCGAGACCAAACCAACCTGACATTATATATATAATTTTAAAATTTTATTTTATACAAAAAAAAATATTTACTTTGATATAATTTTTAAATATTTCTTATACTTTTTCATAGTTTTTATCTTTTAATATATTATTTCAAGTTTGAAACTTAGAATTTTGAATGGTTCAATAAAGATTATAGGCCACAGATGTTGATAATTATAATAAAGCTTAAATCAAAATCAAATTAATACTAATACAAAATGAAAATCAATTCAACACTAAGAATGACAATAATATTGAATATTTGTTCTTTGGTTTTACATTGGTTTAGACAATTCAAATACATAATCTAATTTTAATTTCCTTTAATATTTAGTCATGTAACTAATATTTACTAAACTTATTTTAGCATGATTTAGTACTTTTAAATTATGATCATTTTCATTATGACTTGTTAATTTGCAATATTTGTTTTATGCGATTTCATTATTATTATTATTATTTTGTTGGATATTTTAGTGTCATTACTCATATCATATTTTGTGTTATTTTTTAAGAAACACCTTAGATAGTTGTATTTTGGTAGGACTAAAGAAATATTTGAAGTACAAGTAAATTATATGTTTGTATGAATACTTTACCGGAAAAACCTGAAAATTCAAAAAACCCGAAAAAACTCAAGGTTGAAAAACTGGAGTTTTATTGGTTTGATTTGGTTTATAGATTTAAAAATTCGACACAAATGGTTTGATTTAATAACTCAAACCAACCAGATCATGTAGCCCCTAGTTGAATCCAACAAAAGAGGAGGTGAGAAACACAAAGACACCATGACCCAAATAAATAAATAAACAAATAAATAAATAAATAAATAATGCAATTATTAATTCAGACTGTAATGTGCACTGTCCTCTATGGACACTACTACTGGGGTCTGTGGAGCTTATATAAAGTATGGCCCGTCCAGAGATGCAAGTCTAGCTGAGCTAGTGACGATTGTAAATGAAGATTGCTTAAAGAATAACGACTAGGAGTACTTTCTTTGTCCTAATTTATATGACTTTTTTTAAATTATTTTTTTAAAAGGGACATATTTCTATATTTGATAATAACTTTATTTTAAAATGTTCATTTTACTCTTAATGAAATAATTTATAGTCATATTAATATATATGACTTATATTAGATCATATATTTTCAAACGTCTTTCCTTAAAAAGATTCTATATCAAATCAGTACATCACATAAATTAAAACAGAAAAGTAATAAAACTTGAAATTCAAGTATATGAATGTTGTTGTATTGCTCATAATAGAGAGTCCCTTTATAAATGAATGAAATAAATCATTATTTGGTGAAAACATTTGTTTTGGTTCTATCCTTCAAAATGTGTACCCATTACCTTTCTCCATCTTCTCAACTTAGACAAAACATCAACATTACATCAACATTATCAAAGGTTGAACTTTACTTCTCCTTTTGTTTTCTTGTAGAGTTACAAACGTGTTTAACTAGTGGGCTCCCTCACAATTATAAAACTTTCAATTGCAATGAAAATATATCTCTTATTCAGGAAATAGGGACAACAACCAAAATGTACCATTCCCTTACTTTCAATTTATATGACATACATTTTTTTTTTTGTTAGTCAGACACTCAAAGTGATATTTTTTTTAATATTTAATAGTAATAATTTATTTTAAACATTTAATTAGATGATTTGTAATTATACAAATATTAATAACTTATTTTAATCCACAATTTTTTTTTTGAAATTTTGTATCAAATCAAATCAAGCATATCATTTAATGGACGGTTTGAAGCTGTGGCTGATATTTTCCTTTTCTTCTAGATTGGTTGGAACGTGCCTCAATGCTATTGCTTATCTTAACCTTGCAACAGTTTAATTTGTATCAATGATTAAGTTGCCCCATCAAAATGATAAGTGAAAGCCTTACATAGCAAAATCTCTTTGTAGAACAAACGTAAAATGTTGTTAAACTTACTAGTAAAAGGGGTTTACAAGTATATTAAACTTTCATGGTACGTGGGATTAAAAGATCTTGTTGCATGTTTTTTTAGACTTCCGTTCATATTACTTTAAAACTTTTTCAAATAAAATACACATTTAATTAAATATAATTTCAAAAATTTAAATGTATGACCAAATGATTTATTGTCAACTTTGGAGACAATGCCAGAAATAGAGAGCAGAGACCATAGTGGTGGGGGTTACAATTATAAATAACAAATAGCCAGACTATGCTATATTATCGATTAAAGAAAACAGTATAGGTTACAATAATATAAGAAAATAAATGTTGGTGAGTCAGTCCTTACCTCTACCTATTTATGGAGACATTGCTGACAAATCATCAAGGGCCATTCAAGATCTCGCAATCCTAACAAACGCATCTTTTTTTATTACTTTATTTTTTTTTCTATTTATTTGTTAAACAAATTATAACAGAGTCCAATTAATATGTACATATATAAATGTAAAGGAAAAAGCTGAAGAACTTGCTAATCATTTGATCAACAAGAAGAATACTAGCTAGCAAGTATATTTGAAATGTTTTCTTTACAAGCAAGTGATGACTTACTAATTCAAATTCTCTCAAATCCATGTCAACAAAGCAAGAATAATATTTCACAAGATCCAGTTATGGATTTTGCTTCTATGGATACAACGCGTATTCATATTCCTCCAAATACTAATTCACAGAAAAAGAGAATATCCAAAAGAAAACTGAATACTAATAATGAAGATGGAATTGCTTCGGATGATCATTTCAAGCTTAGGAAAATTATACATAGAGATATTGAACGTCAGAGAAGACAAGAAATGGCTGCGCTCTACTCTTCTCTTCGTTCTCTCCTTCCTCTACAATATGTCAAGGTAATCTTTTTGACAGCTATTTTAATTTTGTCAATAAGTGTGAAAAATTTATCCATCATATACATGGCGGAGCTAGTAAGAGTTCATAAGTTCATCTGAATCTTTTTTTTTGGATGGAAAATTACATTATTTATAAATGATTAAAATTATTTTTTATGTATATATAATTAATTATAATAGAAGTATGTTGTATCCCCTATGACTTCTTCATATTTTATATATCCTCAATAAAAATTCCGACTCCACCACTAATCACATACAGTACTTCCCTTTTTTAAATGTTCGATGATATATTTGGATTTTTTCCCTTTTTTAAATGTTCTTTGTCCTTCCGCTCGACTTCTTTTAATGAATCCGAAATTTGTTTATGGCTTAACAGGGAAAGCGTTCAGTATCGGACCATATGCATGAAGCTGTGAATTATATAAAAGAAATGCAAGGAAACATCAAGGAATTGGAGAAACAGAGAGACTTGCTAATGATACCCAATTCAATCCAACATGGAACTGAAAATGATAGCACATTCACAGATTGTACTGTAACAGTGAGTCCCTGTCTGCAGGGTGGTGTACAGATCTCAATCAGTGTTGATTGTAAAGGGAAAAATTTTCCTCTTTCAAGAATTCTGGGTGAGCTTCTGAAACAAGGGCTTAATATGGTTAGTTGTGTTTCTGCAAAAGCGGATCAAAGGTCACTCTACACAATTCACACTGAGGTACCTACTCTACATGTCTATGTCTTACTTCACACATTTATGGTAACTTGAAATAATCAATTCTACTGTAATACTAACTAGTTCAATTGCAAGTTAATGGTAAAAAAATAAATCTAAACTAGTACGAGTATTATTTTTTTACGAGTTTCATATTTTAACTATCAAGAGTATCTATCTAAACTATCACTTCCACATTTGTATCAAAATTCATTTCAATGCTAAGTTTGTCTACACGTGTTTGTTGTTGTGTGGGAACAATATTTGGTCAACTCATCGTCTGCATATATTGTAAGACTAATAAAATGATAATTTAGATAAGTAAAAGAAACCGTAGATTTTACCGTTCTCTCTTAAATTGAACTAATAGCATATTTCTTCTTACATTTTCAATGTAAATAATTTTAATCGCTAGAATTAATTGGAGAATAACTTCTTTTTAAAAGATAGTTCATTTGGGGAAAATTGCTCCATCATCCTCCGATGTGAGATTCTTCAACATCATATCTCTCGTTTATTTGAGACCGAAACATTGTTGTTGTTGTTGTTATGTTTCCTTATCAATCGTCAATTAACGAATCGATCCGATCCGTTCCGTTCTCTAATAAATCATTATGCATCTTCCTGCAGGCGTGTGATATGAACAACATTGATCACCTGGCACTGCAACAAAAAGTGATTGATATGATCAACCTGGACTTGTAATTCTCGGTTTACAATTAATAACATACCATTCAAGTGCATTTTTGGCAGTAAGGATGTTTGGGTTTGTAGAAAATGCATTGTTGCAGCTTAATTCCACTAATGGTCTGGCGTGGCAAATTGCGATGTATATAAAGCAATGAGGAAAATAAAGGATTCTCTGCTTTTCTACTTCATGAGGATATACGAGTTGATTTTACCGATGGTTACTCAACTAATGTAATTATTATCTCAAAAAGTTATATTTCTTTTTGACTAACTTTCTGAGATAATAATTACATTAGTTGAGTCATTACTATTAAACTTAATGTTTGACTTGTATGAGATCAATGATAAATATAATCGGAAAATGGTTATGGACAAGTTCGATGTATTTTCTACTCATGGCACAGTTAAATCATTCACCGGTTTACTCATGATCTTATAAATTCTTTAGACGTACAATGAGCATAAAGAATTTTATTTTATTTTTAAAACGAACCTGAACAATCAATTTGGTTTTAATTTCATTTGGAGAATGTAATAAATATTTTTGCATAAAAATGTCATCCGAAATGCATGCTTTGCTGGAAAATAGAAGGTTTCATATTTATGTTTCTTTTTGTCAATAATAATTTAGCTTTAAAATGTTCATTTCGCTATTAATGAAATAATTTATAGTCATTATACGTTTATGATTTATTTTAGACCACAAATTTCATTTTTTTTTTTTTTTAAATTTCTTGTCAAATGAAATTACATCACATAAATTAGGATAAAAAAATATATATTTATTTTATGTATTAGATTGCATTACCATATTTGACCAAATCCATATTTACCCATATTTTATATGGATGAATTATGATCCAATCTATTTTAATTCAATCTATCCAAATTCAATTCAATTGGGGCAAGATCCTGTTGCATGTTTGATCAAGTTTATCTCTAGATGTTTCCAGTGAAAATTACTCCCTCTGTCTCTTTTTAGTTGTCCACTTTAGAAATGACACACAGATTAGGGCAATAATGATTAGCACAGTGAAGTTATAATTTTACCCTTATGACAACCTTTCACTTCAAAATTACAACCAATTCTTTGAATTCAAGTGAAATAAATTGGAGGGAAACAACATACACTTTTACAATTTTCAAGAAGTGTAAATAAGGGTATAATAGGAAAAAAATTGTTGTCCTTTCTTGATTTGTCAAAATGAACAACTAAATAGGGACAACTAAAAAAGAAAATATGAACAACTAAATAGAGACGGAGGGAGTACTTTTGAAAAAATAAATAGTCTTATAGTAGCTAGCTGTCATTTATCAATGGTGTTTTAATTTGGCAAGAAAGTCACATTAAAGAACTTCATTAACTTCTCAATCCTTGAAGCAGTCTATATCAGTACAATTAACTGCCTATAGCAGGTTTAAATTTTTTTTACAATGATAGAGGTCCAGCCAATCATAGTTATATAAGGCTCCATTCTTCTTTTGACACCTGGATAGTGGCCCTTTTCTTACTTTTTACATGTTATCCACCACTTCTCTTCCACTCGCTCCTCTCTTCTTTTCTTTTTTTTTCCTCCTAATAAATATCTATTTTTTAAATGCATAATTAAATAATTATTACATCTCATAAAAAAATATAGATGAACAGATTTTCTGTTAAATTATTTAAAATTTTTTAGAACTATTAATTTTAAAAATAAACTTACTGCTCAATATTTTAATAAAATAAGTCAATTTCTGATCTTGTGTTTTTTAATAAAATAAGCCAATTTCTGATCTTGTTTAAAAATTATAGATAGTTTTTTCATCTTAATTATAATTTAAAATAAAAATACTAACGAGATAAACAAGACAAATGAGACGAATTTATAAACGATTTAAAAAAATTATGCAAGGTAAAGAAAATCACATAGTGAAATTTAAGTCTTTTGAATTAAACCTTTAAATACTAATTTATTCTTCAAGAATCAATTGGTTTCGACAACATTTAAATTAATTACTCATTATATATTATTATTATTATTATTATTATTATTATTATTATTATTATACGTTTTCTATATATCAAGAGGTCTTCACATTCACTTACAGTTTTATTTCTTTAGCGTTTTTTCATTAAGTATTTCAAAAGATTGTAACTAAAAAAAATTAAAAAAATTAACTGATAATCTATGTTAAGATAATGACTGCACATATATGAACTAAAGTCTAAGACAAAATAAAAAGAGCTATCAAATAATAAATTTGAATAAATTTAATTTTTGAAAAATGCTAATAATTAAGAAACTGGATTTTTTTTAGTTAATTTTATACTATTAACAATATTGAATAATAAGATTATTTTTAATATTCAGTCATGAGAACGTTTTCATTTGACAAAAAATACTTATTAGTATTTTTATTAATTATATCAATTGTTTACTTATATAGTTGGGAGTTAGATATTTATTAGGACTCATGAGTAAAAATAATTTAAAAAAATGAAAGAAAAGAAAAGTGAGTGGAAGAAGAATAGTAAAAAAGTAAAAAATTGGACCCACTATCCAAGTGTCAAAAGAAGAATGAAGCCTCACACAACTATTGTTGGTTGAGCCTCTTTCATTGACCATCTTCATAGGTTTGCGAGAATAAGAGATATATATGACGATCCACGTTGAACATTCACAAAAAATCTACAATATTATTTTTTGCTAAGCGTATTATTCAAATCTTCGCTTAAATAAACAATACTATTTACTATAACATATATTTTTGAAATTGATAATCACGTGCAACGCATGTACTAAAAAACTAGTTACTATAAAAAGACGAATTTTTAATTTTAAAAAAATGAAAAATAATTTTAAAAAAATGAAAAATAATTTTAAACCCCTATAATTTAATTTGAGTTTATTTTATTTTAATTATTTAAAAAAAAACCATTTTCTACTCAAATTATTAAAAAAAAAAGTCCTTTTAAAATCAAATGCTAGAAATCTTGAACGGAGAGAAAAAATGTGCAAATCTTATTCAGAAAATAAAGGAAAAATATTTTTTGGGATTTATCACTTGCGCGCTCGACAAAAGCGAGGGACACTTTTTTTTTTGGTCATATAAGCATTTTGTGTTTAATAGATATATATTTTAAATAGTTTAAGTGTTTAATAACTACTAGTTTTAGTTGAAATGACTAAGGTAAATTATGCCAATTACTTTTAAAAATCGTTATCAATTAAACCAAGAATCATTTGATCATATACATTAATAACAATATGACAATTCCCGTGCGCAATTATATCTCAATCAAAATAAAGTAAAAGGTTCAATTCCATTATTATATTGCCCAAAAAAAAATACTGTTCATAACTAAGCATATACTGTATAATATATTTATACTCATGCTTCACGTTCAACTCATGTTGATTTAAAACTTTATAATAAATGAGCCGTTAAAGTAACAGTATTATTATTTTATGATTAATAGATATGAAAAATACATGATAGTCAATTCTAGGGTTGGAGTGGAGTTCTACTAAGGCAATAAAAAAAATTACACTTGAAATTTGAAAATATATTTCTCTTATAGTAAACAAATTTAAATATTATATATTTTTCTAAAGATTAGTTTTATCATATTTACGCATATACCTGTCCGACAAAAAAAACATAATTGTACAGTTGGTGAGAATTGGACAAAGAATAGCTTCCACTATCTTTTTCACTTTCTTAACTTTTTTGAAAAAAAGAAAACTTTTCGAATTTTCAATCAATTTTGATTCATATCATTTGGACGGCAGTCTAACAATTCGACATATTTTATTGATATATTTATATATAATTATACATATTGTCAAGTAAAATGTGTCAAGTCAACCTTTTAGGTGGAGTAAAAGTTTTCTTCTGAGTTTGAAAAGGGATGACAAGGAAATTAACGCAACATCAAAGAATTACACTCTCTCCAATTTTATATGAGTTAGTTTAACTTAATATAGAGTTTAACAAAAAATAACTTTTAAAACTTATGATTTAAAATAATAGCTAGACATTTGTGTGATTATAAATCATTTTGATTAAGGGTAAAATAGACATTTTAAAGTTCTATTGTTATTACTTAATATATAAATTTATCATTCTTTTTGAAACTGACTAAAAAAAGTAAGTCATATAAACTGAGACAAAAAAAGTATTAGTAACATGTGGAGTTAAATGCATTGTTTGAGGAATTTTTACATCGAAATTCATTTTAAAAAGAATAAAGAAAAAGATAAATGTATCTAAATACATATTCAATTTTATATTGAAGGATTGATTACATCTAAATTTGTTTTGTTTCTACCGAAAAAGTAAGAAATATCCCTATCCTATGTAAAATTGAACAAAAATGACCTTTATTTAATAGTTTGGTCTAAAAATACTTTTGCCGTTAATAGTATGGTCCAAGAATGTTTCTACCGCTAATAGTTTGATCCAAAAATATCCATATTGTTACTTAATGAATCGAAAATATCCTTATATATTATTTGTTTTCTTTTCTTTTAAATCACATTTTATTCTTAGTAAAATATTACTTTTAAAGAACACTATTATTCTTCTTTTCTAAAAAATAAATCACCTTAACTAATAAATAAGTAGGAAATATTTTTTTGTTCTTTTTAATCTTATTTTATCAATTAATATAGAATAACTACATATATCTTCTTAACTGATAATATAAGTCATATATATATAAAATCATAGTAACCCATCATAAATTTTATTTCAATAACCATAAAAAAAATTCTAATAATTTTTTTTTTTTTTTATATTTCTTAATCTTTTTCGAATTAAAGTAGAATAAACATGTGTTAATAATAATATTATGATTAGGAAACCCATTAAGCAACAATATGGAAATTTTTGGACCAACCTATCGACGAAAAGGGCATTCTTAAACCAAATAGTTAATTAAGGACATTTCCGCTCAATTTTTTCATTATTTAAAGGGCATTTTCAACCCTTTTTCATTTTTTCTATAAAAAATAGAATGGTTGCTAACGCAGAGAAGGCCGGTGCTTATTCCCAAACAAGCTCCATTGCCACCTTTAGAGTTTTAAATACAAAGTCAGGCCAGAAATATAACAAAACAACTCAAAATTTTGAAATCATCTTCCTTTTTATTTTATGGGCATGGTAGTTATTGTT